AATCAGTTTTTTACTGAGTATTAAAAGCATTATTTATTCCTTGTTAGCTGATAATTAAAACATTTACACTTAGTTTGGCCTAATGCACCATCTCATTTCACTGCTCTCCCCATTAAAGAAGTGCCTTTAAGACCATATGTGAAACTTTAATTTCATCATTAAAGCTGTTTGGGGATAATCATGTTGTGCTGAGAGATGCAGAAATAGCCCTAAGAGAAAGATGTGAGTAACCTTTCACACCTTCGGGAGAACTTGCTTAATTTGCCGTAGCTCTTTTTGCAGTAGCAGGTGTTTGATGATTTGGTCCCTCTCCTCCTCTGCACCCATGGCTGTAAATGACAGCAGTTAAAATGCCATTTAAAGCTTCTGGCTAGCCATTAGGTGATTGATGGCCACTGCAGCGTGGCTCTGCGTGTGGCTGACTTTGGGTTTGTGTGTTTCTGTATGCACACATTGGTGTGTGTTAGAGATGTGGAAAAAGGTGCCTTTTTGTGTTTGTCTGTTAGGGTTATGTGTCAGATTAACAGGGACCATATGCTCTGCCATCTGTGCCAATATGGACATTATGTCCATCTTCAGACACTCAATCTGAAAAATTTAGTACATTTTTTTTATACTTAATTTGTCTGGTATAGAAATTTCTTGTCATCTTCCCCATCTCATGCCTTTTTCTCCCTTTCCTCCTGTTTCTGATTTCATCAGTCATTTCTGACTAAGCAGGCTTATGTTATCATCTTCTCTTCCTTTCATGTACTTTCATAAGGCTTGTTCATTTACTGCATGTGCTAGTTTGACCAGTGTTCATGTGTGTCAATGAATAAGCCTGCCAGAGGAGCTCACAGTAGTTTATTTGAGGTTTTAATTTGCTCCATCATGATAACATTACATACGGTCAGTCCCAATTTGAACATAATCATCAGGCAGAAACAGAAAACCAGGATGTCTCCAGATTGTCTATAAAAAAATATTCAAATCCCCTATATTCGCATTTCTATAAAAAAAAAAAAACGAAAAGAATCCGAATTTTTTTATCTTTATAAATCAGTACAAATAAGTAAATCATTGTAAAGTGAAAAGGAAATTACAAATGGTTTTTGAATGTGAATAAATGTGTTTTTTCTCAGCTTTCCTTAGTCACCAGCCTTGGATGCAATTACATCTGCAAAATGCTATCAAAATAAAAGATATTTTGAAAATTATCAATACTAAGAAATATATTATTCAAAGAAACCGATTAGGGTTTCACTATATTAGTAAAACATGCAATAAGCTATAAGTTTGGCAGGTGACAAAATTGTTGATGGCCTGATTAGTTCCTTTAAGGGAAAAAATAAAGACTGGGAAAGATGTAAATCTGTTCTAACTAGACAGAGAAATCCACTCTTTTAATAGTTCTGGCTTTTAATAATTCTGGCTTTTTTTAGAGGCATACTTGAAAGGAGGACATTTCTTTCTGCTTATCACTACCTGAGCTTCTCAACCTTGGTCCTCTGATATTAAACAAAAACAGGCCTTCAGCTGAAATACATGGATTAGATTTGTCAGGTTATTGTCATTTATAAACCAAGCCTACAAGACATTTTCAATCACCAATTCTCAAACATAAATTCACATTTGCTGCTGGGGAAGACTGAGTACCTTTATCATTAAGACTACTCAACTAAACAAATATTGTGAAACTAAACACGTCTTGTTAATTGCAAACTTAAACACATTATGCTGAATATTCTTTCCTACTGCAGTAATGATAAAATACCTTTTTTTTTTCCAAAAACAATATACTGACTAATCTGACTACATCTGGGAGTTTAAATCTTAATCTAGCTGACAATGAAGACTTAACATTTTAAACCCAGAGGGTTTAAAAACTTATATCTGCCTCAGTATATACACCAAAATAAATCAAGATTAACTCCATAGTTATCAGATCATAATGCAAATTGTTGATACCTCTTTATAGGTGAGAAATTATAAATATTTTTGTCTTGCCGATGTCACATGTCTGATTTATTTGTTCCAAACTATTTTGACAAAAATCAAATTTGCAAACTCTTTTTCCTGCCTACTGTTGGGATTTTATTCTAGTTGTCCCTTGCACTTATCACTAGGGCTGGGTATTAAGTCCTGAATCGATTCCATTTTGATTCATTCAGTTCTAAATCGATTAAATTTGGTTCGATCTGTTATTACAATAATGAAAGTGGTTCAACTGTGTTTCAAAATACTCATGTAATAATTTTTTTCCTGTCATATTAAACACAAAGTGCAAACTTGTAAATCAGACAGTTTAAACTTGAGACGTGAACAAAACTGTCTCAAAAGAGCAAACTTGTTTGTGAGAAGTGAAAAAGTGAAGCCTCACTCGAGCAAGCAGATGTGACACAGCGGGAACAAAGCAGACATGCATGAGCTGCATTATCTCCACTGCACAAACCTTATTTGCAGCGTTGTCTGTAACAACTACAGGGTGTTTGCTGGTCAGCCCCCATTTGTTAATGTCTTCAGTCAACCTATTGGCTATATTTGCAACTGTCTGGCTTGAAGTCATCTTGAGAGCATCTTTCCTGCTCATCTGAATGTGAACGTCACAAGCGTCACTATAAAACGAATCGATCTAATTTCCTAGACATTGATTTTGCAAAAATGTAAAGGAATCAATTCAAAATCGATTAAATTGATTTTTTTACCCAGCCCTACTTATCACAAGTATGTCATTGTTTCATTCCAGGGTTTCATTGTGTCATTATGAAAGTGCTGACTTTTAAGGCTTGAATACATCTTATATATTTTTGTTTGATTGTTCATAAGTTGATCCAGTCAAATTAGGATGTTGTTGAATTTCTGGGACATTATTTAAACTTTGAAGGGGTGAAAATGCAGCAGAGTCCTGCACAGATCATGATCTGCTAACCCTATGTGTAGTAGGAGCCTCTCTGTATGAATTGCTGTCGGTGTGACAGGAGAAAAATCTAATTGGATTTTGCAGAGTCAGACACGAGTGGTGTGATCCAGCCTTTACTTGCATGCTTTTAACTTTGTGCTACTGTAGTTATATATCCTCTGTGGTGTATTACTGCCCCCTAAAGGGCTGGAGTGAGAAAATGTGTCTTACGGCTGTTAGATGTTAACCTGACAACAGCCAGATGCATGTCTCGCTCCGCCCAGCTCCACTCACGGAGCTAGGCGGAGTGAGACATGCATCTGGCTGTTGTCAGGTTAGTTAGATGTAATTTGACCAAAACAGAGTAATCTACAGTAGATTAAAAAAAAGTAAATGTTAAACTTTTTTATAAACGAGGCCTCGGCTCACTGGTAGGCCCTCAAAGCTTATAAGTGCTTATGGGTATTTATTATTAACCATATTTCCTGAACATGGGCATGGTTCAGAATGGAGACTAGGAGAATTTTGTAGTCACTATAAAATTCAACTTTAAATATGTCCCTGACATTTAGCATGGTAAATAACAGTTGATAGGTATACGTACTAATACAACTGTAACCAAATGTATTTACACTAATTCCTTTTTGATTAAAGGGATGAGATGGTCCATTGTCCTTTTAATCTAGCCTCTCGCATCAAGCCTCACTACTTGGTGTATGCTACAGGGGACACGTTGTCATTCCTCTAAGTCCCCTGAATTGTTCTTCATACCAGGCACCAGTGATGGGAAACCAAGAGAAAGACCAACACTTGGCTGTAATAGGACTGAAAAGGATGATAAATTGTTTCATTCACAGTTCGACATGCTCTGTTTCACCTCACCATGATTCCAAAGACATGCTGTCCATAGACACCAACCCACACATTGAACCACAGACAAAAGATTTCACCATTTAGTCCTTTTTTTTTACATTTGCAGGTGAGTAATGGATGACTAAAACAAACTAACCTCTTCAAGCTAAAATTGTATTTCTTTATTATTTTTGCTGTATAGATCCCTTTAACCTTTTTGCAATCTAAACATTTATTAACTTCCTTGATATATCTCAAAATGTTACAATCATTAAAAAAACCTAAATACTATTCATAGTGTAGTAAAAAAAAATTCCAACCTATTATTGTTTATGTTTATGCATTTAGCAGACGCTTTTATGCAAATATTGACTTACAAACTAGACATAATATTACAGTTATCATCAATATGACAAAAAGTTGTCATTGTGTCTACTGCGTAAGTCGCTTTGGACAAAAGTGTGAGCTAAATGCATAAAATGAACAACCAACTTGTTGGTTTTTAAACAGCAAATTAAAGGTTATGCATCTTATACAGCTCATTTCTGTTATGCAATCAGAGCATATGTTTGAACAGTAAACAGAAGCATCAAAAGTGTTTATTGCCTGATCCAGTGCTACTCTTTTTGTAATGCTCTGTTCTCATTTCTCCTCTGCTTCTCTTCAGCCAAATGACACAGATGTAAGTATGCTCATCATTTTCCACAGAGGCAGCCTCCTTTTGCTTATGGAACCAGAAAATATCATCCACACTTCCCCGCTGAGCTCTGTGAACTTGTGCTTCACAACATTAATTAAACAGACGGCAGACGTACACACAGTCGCAGAGACACAAACATAAAATAAGCTCTCAAACGAGATGCTCACCAGTCAGTCTCAGGTAGACATTCCTGTCACATCTTGCACAAATTAACAATTTCTCACCAAAGCAGACACTGTTTTTTTTCACACATATTAAGACAGCCGTTCCAGCCTAACACCTCCACAGAAAACCACAGAAAGAAGCATGTGTTTAAAATGTTTCCTTGTGAACACAGACACACTCTTTTCTCACATATACATAGAGATAATATTTCTAATTGGCTCATTGAGGTTTTCTGAAATTGCTCTCTAATTACAGTAGATTTTGTCTCTGTTCTTCAGTGCTCCACTGTGGAAGGGGTTTGTCCTCTTCGCTGTGACAGTTTTGTGAGTATATATTGCTTTCTGTCTTCTACTTATATGACTTGCATAATATTTGAATATTATTATGTATATGTAGAGTATGGAGCCACTAGAGAACAAATCTAAGCATTTTTAATCTTTTGGTGATCACTTTAATTACATTTGTCATAAGTCCTTTGTTTTTCTGTCTCTTGTTAGGACATTGAGTGCTACGTTATTGACAATAATGGCTTTGTCCTAATTTCTAAACAACGGAGTGATGTAAGTCAACACATTAAAGGCCTTTTAAATCTTACTTTGAAGGGGTGAAAGCTTTCCAATCTGTTTTCTCTTTGGTGAGAGAAGACAATATCTTAAGAGCATGAAAGCTTAGGTGTATCTGTTTTAGAAAGGCCAAGTATCTCAGTAGTTTTCCTTTTTTTCTTGAGACCTCTAGTAGACTCCTTACGTAAATGTTTTTATGCCAGTTTTGCATATTTTGTAACATTAAAACCTAATAATCCTTTGTATCTTACATATGTTTTTTTGTTGTTGTTGCAAAAACTGTTTTGTTTAATTATGTGAGGAGAAAAATTATCTAAAAATTTCTGAATTAGCTAGCCTAGTAAATTAGCCCCACCCGCCAGCGGCCAAAATCATTTTTGCCTGTGAGTTTGCTCTAGCCTCGATCAATGCCCCAGGCCCTAGAGCTGGCGGACCAATCACAACGCAGAGATGTGTTCTGCTCATTCATTTTTAAGAAGGAAGTATTTGTCATTTTACTGACAGGCTGTTTGTTTACACTCCCCCACCAGCTTTCTGTCACGCTTACTACGTCACAGTGAGTTGCACTCATTGGTCAGAGTGTTAGGCAGTAGGCACAGACATGGTTTGAAAAACAACGGGTTGTTCTTATCAACAATCTTCTGATGTCTCATTCATCGACGCCAGACTAAATTACACATTTAGTCTCACATTTAGTCTGGTTTATCAGGCTATAATTAACTAGCAATGATCTCAAAGTAACATGCCTTTTTATTTACCCCCCTTTGAATGGATATTAGCCATTTAATTGGTAAATAGTTTATAAGAGTGTGATGTATACTGAAGTTCTTTAAAGGTCTGAGAGGTATGTTGGTAAGCATTAAAGGACAATTATCTTCTTGAGGACTAAAGCTTTTATAGAGTAGCCCAACAAAAGCCTTGTTATGGCTTAGAAAACATGCAAATTGAACAGGTCCACCCCTTTGAAATGGGGGGTCGTTAAGGTCGTTGTTGGCCTGCAAATTAACCTGATGCTGGGCCATGCCCTTGTAATAGGGAGCTGTTGGGGTCCACACTACAGAGGACTGGGTCCTGAAAGGGGGGTGGACTTAGATTTCAGCTCCTGAAAACCTATAGCGCAGATTTAGAGTTGATTCCTTCCCACCATCACCTTAATCCTCATCGGCATGCAGGTGACCAAAATATCACGCCTGCTACACCAGTTGCCACTACCGTGAGGACTGGATGCACCGTCCCTACACTCCAATATATCAGAGAAGGTTCTAATAAAATACATTGAAGTTGATGGTTGAAATGAAACAAAATATGAAAAAATTATAACTGTCTGATAGAAAACTGTCAAACAAAAACTTTTTGTTCATTTTCATCCTGTTATTTTCTGCATATACATCTGCCTTAGGTTTAGAGGAACTAAAATTTAATCTATGTTAATCTATGGATTAACTTTACCTTTTGCATATTTCCGTTTAAATCAAGATGTTTTTCGCATAGGCAAAGTAAAAGGGACCCCAGTTTCCATTTGGTTGTTGTTACAGAACAAATTTGATCATGAAAACAAATTTTAAAAACAGATACCAGAATTGTAATCTGGATTTTTATCTATTTCATCATACAAAAGAAGAAAAAAAGATTTAAAATCTCTTTTATCATCCCCACAATTCAAAGTTTAAGATTATTTCAAGTGTTTGCATTAAATGACATTACTGCAGCATTTTAATTGTAATTAAATATGTCAGTTAATCATCACAGGAATTTGTTAAGCTGTACTGAGAGCTTTATCATCTGTTCTGACAGGCAGGAAGGTTCTTCGGCGAGACGGACGGATCAGTGATGACCACACTGATTCAAATGGGCATGTTTAAAAGGTACCTGCCTGGCACTAATCTGCTGTCTGCCTGGTTGAGATATATCTATATATATATATATATCTATACAGTTGTGTTTCTAGGGGTTTCTGTGTGTGCGTCTGTGGTGAAAATGCAAATCCATTTGCTGTCATGCTATATTTCCCTCTTAAAACTAGCTAATGAAAGCAATTAGTTTACCTTATCCAGTGGCACAGCCAGCAACCTTTTGTAGAAAATGTTCCTCTGATTATTTTCTGGTTTTATTTATGATCACATGCTCCTAAAATCTGTGCAAATGAATCTGATGAAAACATATTTACCTCCAGATTTTATAAATTTCACCTTTTTTGTGTTAAAATATGAGATCATCAAGAAGGGCTAATAACAGGCAAATATAATTCATACCCAAATTAGATAAAATCTTTTAATAAATAATAATATTATATTCTTCAATTTATTTTTCTGGGTTGAATTAAGGCTTCTGTATTGTAACATAGATTTGAGAGTAATGGTGTTTATTTTTAGTTATTATTTTTAACTTCAAAACACTTTATGGTGCAGTTTGCGATTCAAGTCATCTGGAGAACAGAGAAAAAAATAAAAAATTTAAAGTTCCTAATCATAGATTATAAAGACTAAGAGGAGTTTGCTACAACTGGTAAAAGCAGATCAGAGTTTTAGAAATTCAGATTTCAGATATGAGCCAAATAAATAAAAGCTATTCGATCCACATGGGTTTTTTCATCAGCTTGCAGTTGCTAGTGCTATATTAGTTGTGAAAGACAGTAAAAGGATCAGTAAAAGTTTGTAAAAGAGCTGAAGGAGTAACACAGTATTTACATGTCTGCTGATGTCCCCTCAGGGTGTCCTTGTTTGACTACCAGGCCATGTGTAAGACCAACTCTCACTCTGTCAGCAGCGCCCGTCCTCTTCTCAGCGTAAGTTCAATTATTGAAAGTTTAATTTGTATTTTTGAAACAAGAATCCAGTCACTTTTACACCAAACTTCATCTGTCCCATTCTCCCTGCAGTCATTTTACGCTTTGGCTTCGACCTTCAAGTGGTTCCTCTCTAACTTCCTACTGTAAGTGTGGCTAAAGGCAACATTATAGTCAGCTCTGCATTGCCAATTCACTGTAAAGTTTAATTGACTAGCAACGCTAGAAGCAGACCTGCATCAGGTATTATAGAGCCAGGTTGAAAAGATGTGATTCCAAACAATGTGTCCTTTGAGTAGTTGGTCATTCAAAGCCATCCAAACCCACTGTTGTGCAGAATTGTTGTAATTCAGCTCATTGTAGGAGTAAAGATGAATAACCTGTTAAGGATTAGACCTAAAAATGACTATAGAGCTGACTTTGACAGAATTTGGTCTCCTACTTCATAAAATTGTGGTTTATTGAAATGAAAGGGCTGCAGCTTTCGCTTCCCTGTCGTTGCCCTCCCAGTATGCTGCAGATGCCTGAGTCCAGGCAGGTCATGTGACCCAGAAAAACAGATCAGCTGCACCAGTATAGTCATCTTTGAACCAACTTTGAAGAACATCTACAGTAATCAGATCAACAAGATCATGTGCAAAGCTTAAAACAGATTTTTGAAAAGTATGCACAAAAAAAAAAGACTTAAATAGTATTTTATTGATCTCTGAATAGTCTGAGCTGCAGCAAACAAAAACATTTCTGACAGTATAGGCCTACTAATGACAGGAATCAGAAGTTGAGTTTAATCTGGGCGATCTAAGATGCAGATTCTTTCTTAAAATCTTGGCTGGGATCCAACTTTTCATATATGGGATTTGATTTGGATGTAAAATACTGTTGTAGCTTAAAACCTACAATATAGGTTCAACTTCAACCAGAGTTTTATTTAATAAAAATGTTTGATATTAATCGTTATAGCATCTAATGGTTATTAAAGAGTGACTCTAAGGCTTACTTTATTATTCTCAAATCAAAACTTAGCTAATTTTTTGTGTCTCCTCTGTCTACAAACCGCTTTCTCTCTCTTTCCTCTTTAAGGTTTCTACTGGAGTTCAATTTCTGCAGCTTCTGGCATACGGAGCCTTTTGCTGATGGTGAGCTGTTATATGGCTCAATTTCCTTTTTCTCTTTGCATGTCTCACACATTCTTAAGCACAGATTTTTCCAAGATGAACTAATTTTTAAAAGTTGAATCTGAATTAGCATAAATACATTGAGGGTAAGTATGCTTTCATTTACATTTCATTCAAAATGCCCATTTCATGGTCCTCATAACGCGAAGGTAAAATAAACCTTTCCAGACCAATACAGTTGAAACCAGATATTTACATTCAATAAAAACAAACTATCTTTGTCAATGACTGTAAATTTGACTAAGATCATACAAAATTCACTATTTAAACTGTTTTTAAATAAAAAAAAAAAGTCCCTGTGTTAAAGTTAGTGTTGCGCCATTGCTATTTTTTGACCCTGATACCGATACCAGATACCTGGCTGTGCAGTATTGACTGATACCATCTGTTTGAAATTGATGTGTGTGTGTGTGTGTATAGGAGGAACTGCATACTACTTGGATGTAAAATAATTGCCATTGTGGCTTTTTGTCAGGCTGCTGCCTACCTTTGTGAAGCAGGAAAAAGACTAATACAAAGTGAATCCAGTAGAACTTTTAGGTGACAATAGTTGAATAAACTTTTGGCTCTAAAAAAGGTATCAGTGCCCTATTTGTCAGTAATCGCAGATACCGATATCACCATTATAGTGCTGGATCGGGACCCTGTCCGATACTGGTATCGGTATTGGTGCAATAGTAGTTAAAGCTGGTCAGTTTATGTATGTCTGTAGAAAAAAGAGAAATTGAAACAAGGAAGCAAGGATTTAAGTTTTAAAACAAATCCCAGGGAAACTGTAATGAGAAGATTTAACTTTCAGTAGCAGCAATATATATTCACCCCTGACCTGATGAACAATAGCATCATCTGTCATGACTGTCTGCAATACGTGCTGAAAACCTTAGCAATCCACAGCAAACAGCTGCCTATCAGCCTGTGGAAAGTGAGGTAGCATTAGCTGGTGATGTGCTGATTGTTGAAAAATAATTTACACACAAAAATGATTATATTCCTTTTATATAAGATTTTAAAAAGTCAAAATGTTTTGCCTCATCTATCTGAGACTATAGAAATATTTTTTGTAATCATTACTTAACGTTTTTTGTTATATATGGCGAATGTACCTATCTGGTTTTGACTGGATGATATGTATAAAGTGTCTTTTCATTAATTATGAGACAGATTTTCATATATCACCTTTCATTTCCTTTCAATTGTCTTAACGGTCCTATGAATCATACCTCCACCCCCCTCATCACTGACCCTCTCATCTTTACCACCGTCCATCCATTCAGCAAAACCATCCTTCAGTCGCTGTGAGTATTTGCTTTGAGGTGTTTTAGAGGGGGTCTGCTGCTCTGCAGACCTTAGTGTTTGTGAAACGTTCCAAGCAGAATTAAATTTAGTTTTTCAGATTACATAAGGCTTTCAGTGGGAGCAGACACGGCTGCCAAATCCTTCACTTTTATCTCAGCTAATGGAATATCTAAGCAGTTAAACAAAATCCCAGCCAGACATGTAAACTTTCCTCAGCTATTATAGCTCTTCTGTCTGGTTTCAAATCACCTCTTATTGTACATTCAGTTTGTTTGAGGCATGCTTTCATCTGAGCAGCAGTAATATCCTAAAAGTTTGGCTTTTAGCCTGTCGATCACACATGCACTCTTAACTAATCAAGAAATTACCCCTTTCTATTTCTCCATTAGCCTATGTTCCGAAGAAAAAATGGAACCCATTGCAGCCATGTGACACCGAGTACCCAAGCTTTATTCATGAGCCGTCAGTCAAGGAGACTAACAGCATTATTAAATGTGGACGGTGCCAGAAGTAAGCACACACTCATGTACACATACACACAGACAGCAGCCAAAGTCATTTTTATGCTCCGGACTGGTCATATTAAATTGTCTCCCCAGAATCCATTTTCTACAGCTTTCCTGCGCTCTGCTCAATATGATCAGTGTCTATTTATACAAGACTGTCAGAAGAGTGATAGTAGAGGGGACCAAGATGTTATGGGTGTAAGGAGAGTTATATGCAGGGTGAGAAGCATGGGTTTAAAAAAAAAATAAAGAGTGAGTGAGTATTAAAATAGAAAATAGGGGTTTGAATGGCAAGATGGAGAGCAAGAAACAATGATGCAAGGCATAGTGGTGGAAAGGAAAGAGAGAAATCAGCTTGAGAGGATAAGCAGAGTTTGAGTGCCCTCTTGTGGACAGAAGAAGTATAACATATCCAAGTTATCATAGACTTTTCATACATGAATATTTCTCTCCAAAAGAATCCATAACCATGTAACCTTTTTTTTTTTTTTCTATGTGAGGATTATTCGGTCTGTTAGCGATTTCTGTCAGGCATTTTCCTCTGAGCTATTCTACATGGAGTTGCTTTGACGTTTCTTTCTATTTCACTTCTATCTGTTTCAGGATGTTTGTAGTGCAACAAATACCAGAAAGCAACCTGCTGATGTTGGTGGTCCAAGGAGACTGTGACTGTTCCAGACAGTATCCACCCATCACCCTGGAGCCTAAAGAGGTCAAATATATCCTTTGACAAAGTGACTTAAAGAAGGGTGAAAAATTAAGAATATACATTCTTTCCCCATTACCCCAAACTTGAGCTCTCAAACTTTTGTTGTTGCATGTTTGTTTTCGCATTGTTTTTGTTTTTTTCTTAACCTCGCTGCACATAATGCATCGGTGAAGTGTGACAGGATGCGGTCCCAGAAGATCCGTAGACGTCCTGAGTCATGCCACGCGTACCACCCACAGGTCAGGTTCTCACTGTCCTACCCCATGGTGCACATTTAGTGCAATTACAGACAAATGCAAAAACTAGAATAATATTCTAATGTAAAATAGAGGAGGGAGGATTAGGGTTTATTATCACATAGATGAGCATCTTTTTTTTTTATCTCCATGGCAGCGTCATGCCAGGAAAACTGGAGTCAAATTGCAGCAATACATTTAGAAGAGCTGAGCTAATGATGGATTTAAAAGTAGTTATAAAAACGCATCATTTCAATTAATTATTTGTCAGATATAGAGAACTCAAAAAGTCGGGAGGTATTTTACTGAAGAAAAAGACAACAAAAGGCAAAGTTGTTGGTTTGTTAGCAGGATCAACTGAAAACCTATGCACAGATTTAATTAATTTTTTTTTTACCAGAGACGCACATGCTGCCAAGGAACAATTCATTTAAATTGGGTAATGATCCAGAACGTGCAAGTTTTAGGTTTAGGTGTAAATCAAAATATTGGGCAAAATGTGCTGCTTGCACTGGAAATAATTGGAATCTAGATAAGTAATTTTTTTTCTTAAAATAAGTGCATTTGTTCTTGGACTGAGGAGGTAAATGAGACATTTTTTTCAATGAAACAAGACTATTTCAACTAAAAATAAGAAAACACGATTGGGTTGTCTTATTTTAAGTGCATATTATCCAATTATCTTATTTTAAGAGTAAAAATACTCATTCCATTGCCAATCTATCTCATTTACCTACTCAAATTAAGGGTAAATACACTTAATTTTAGTTTTTCCAGTATGTTGGAGCTCTGTAATCTCGAATCCTTTACCAGTCTTGCATTTAGTTTAAAAGACCACATTTTCTTTAATGCACTTCAGGAGCAACATCCTTTCCTAACTGTATGAGCTGTAAAATTCAGAACTCTAAAATAGGACCTTTATGCTGAGATGAATTATGCGAAAAGATCTTAAAATCAGACTCCTAAATGTATAAACATAATTTTCTTGTTTTACACAAACAATTTGTAATATTTGATCATTTTAATGTGAAAGACCACCGTTACTGAAAAGCAAACTTTTGTCTGTTTTGTCCTTGTAGGAGAATGCGAACGACTGCGGGGGGGCGTCGTTTATACGTCTGTCAGGCCTCCTCCTCCTCCTCTGCCTCTCATGCGCTTTACTTGTTTTATGATGCCACAAAACTTTGCTCTCAATATGTAAACAGGTTTGCACACAAATCACCTCAAGTGGACCTTTTAGGAAGCAGATTCAACACATTTCTTCAGTATGCAAACCAGGAGGGAACTTTATATAGATTGTGAAGATATGTTTTACTGCTAAGAATTAAAACATCCAAATATCACCTTTTTACTACCTGAATTTTACAGCACTATATATTTTTCTCAATAACCCATTTAGATATACAAGATAAATGGTATACTGCAGATATAAATATAGGTATGGTGTGAACTTACGACAGGCATATTTGGGCAAAAAAAAGTTTCCTGTTGTCACTTAAGTAGCAGATTTATTAATGCTGTTATTGCAAAAGAACATTTTGAACTGGGGTTAAAACAAGTATGTTGTGAGTCATTAACAGAGCATTTCAAATACAGCTTAATGCTATGAAACTACAAGCAGAAATCATTTTAAGCTTAATCGCTTGATGGTGGGAAAGTGTTAACAATACAGTTCCTGTAAAAGAACTTAATGTTTAAAGACATTTGGGTTCTTATTAGAGATTAAAAAGTACAACCAGGCAAATCTCTGAAGAGTAGAATCAGCTCAGTGGCTCAGATAGGTGGAAAAATGAGAAAACTGCGGTGTATTTTTCATCTGATATATGTGAGCTTTTATCAGTTTCACTCCAAAAACTGTATATCCATCTATCTTTTTGTTTTGAGCTGTGCCTTTCTGCTGTATAAATATAAAAAGTGCATATAGTATAATTTTCCCCTACAGTGTATTAACCTCAACCAGTAAGCATATATATTACAGATATATGAAAGGAACCTTTAAGTTTCACTCAAACTTTTAGTCTCTTTAGATTCTGGGCAGCTTTTATTTAATTTAAAACATTTTTTAGTTGAAATGACAAATCAAATTTTGTTTATTTATCATACACATTATGTGTGCATCACAACAATACGCTCTGGTGAAGAGTTTATCAAACATAATTCAATCATCTGTCTTGTTTGTGTTGTTAGTGATTCCTTTACAGATGTATCTGTATATTCAATGTTTAGCCACAGTAACTGGAGCCATGTTTTGTACACTGTTAATTAAATTCATGTAGTTTTGTATTCTTTTTGCTCTTATGTTTTGGGTGTTTCCCACCTTTTCTGAAATAATTAACTATTATTTACACTAAGTAAGATAGAATAGATTTGGCAGAGAAACAAATTGTTTTTAGATTTAATACTAGTATAAGAATTTGCTGAAGTTTTTGGAGGTTGAAATAAAAAAGGGAAAAGATGGACACATTTCTAGAGGACTTTTTATAGTGAGACACCTCCTGAGGAAGGAGGAGAGAAGACTGGACCTGGAAGATTCATCCATTCATCATCTAATCCAACTTAAACGTGCAGAATCACGGAAAGGCGGACAGGTTCCACGCCTGGGATATGGCAACACAAACAGGACAAACAAGTAAGTGCACACACACCAGCAATGCAGAAAATCCAGTTACTGTAACCTTCAATGTTTTTCTTCAGGAGGAGAAAACCTCAATTTTTGCAGAACAAATATGATTTCAATACACTGTGCAGTCGGACATGGAGGTTTATACTGTCAGTTTTAAGTTTATGCTTAAGTTTGAATAATTAAGAAACAGCTGTTAATGTTTAAACAGTTTGTTTCCATTTAAAATGGTTGTTTTCATTTTGTATTATGATTTAGTACAAATGAAAACTTTATTTAACTTAACCTTAAGTGTGTTCATTTTCAGATTAAATAAGCTCCATCATGTCTGTCGTTTAAAGGTCATAAACCTAAATTAATATTTAGTAATGAAGTAAAAGAAGAGGAAGAAGAAAGGCTTTTATTGAGCTTTTTCTTTAAGGTCCATAAGTCTTTCTCAGCTTTTGCCACAGTTTGTATAAACCCTTAAAAAAAACATTAGAATTTGACATTTAAATATTTTATTAGTAAACCAGCCTCAACCCTTATACGACTTTTTTAATTACACTTCTTGTCCATACCTTCAGCTGCATTATAGTTTTCTTTATCTTCATTGATTACATCCTGCATTAGCATTAAATTAATGATTCATTACAGTCAATAGGTGTTTCTTTTTGGTTGAACAAATGAAAACTTTAGAAATTATTAGTGTTGTTCTTGCTTTGTTGCAGTTTTCTCAGTCTTTTTCAGGAATTATACTGATTATACTGTGGGAGACTGCGTACTTATTAATTTAGGTGCTAAAATTGTTTATTCTGTCAATTCAGAAAAGAGTGTTCATTAAAAAATAAGAAATATAAATGAATGCATAACTAAATCTAAAGTTCGCTTTATTGGGGAAAAAAGTAAAAGGGGATATTTTGCATTGGTTTTTACTAAATTTAAACTTTAGACAGATTTATTTTGTCATTTTCTATACACCAGTGTAAACAAAAAGAAATTTCGTTTAAAACGGCTCTAGACAATTTCATTTTTTTGAAGTGCAGCCTTGAAAACAGCAATAAATACATAAAAAAGAAATATAAACATATGAATGTATACTTACAGCTCTAACATTAATATTTTGTTTGTAAATGCTTTCATGCAAGCTGAGAAAAATGGCAAACACTGGGAAAACAGTAGAATATCCCTTTAAACTTTTGAAACAGAAGAGTATCAGGCTAATTGGAAACATCTGTGGGAGAGAGAAGTGTCAGCCAGCAGAAACAACAGAAAAAACAATGAATGTACGTTATTTTGTGCTCATGTGGGCCTATTTTTTATTTTTTTACAGCAAAGCTGAACAGGAGGAGGAGAATCTTTGGAATATCGCCTGAACAGGTCAGTGGTCACATCTTTATTTTCTCTGCAGTTTTCTCTAAAAATAACAAACTTGTGGTAGCTGTCTGCGCCGACATTGATAATTTAGCTAATTTATTATTAGGCCTTTTCTAATTGTTTGCATTGATAGATAAATCCAACAGAACCTATTAAAACATTACTGAAACAGCTGTAAACGATCCTGGATGTATGCTTAGTTTCTTAGTAATGGGGAATTGTGATATACAGGATACTGTGAAGTTTCACCATTATATATTTTATGAAACTACAATTTAAGGTAAATTTCATAAAAATTCACTAAAGCACATTTTGAATAATTTAATAGTAAGCAAGTGTTTTAGGATTAGTTTAAGAACAGTACCTGATGTTATGAATGGGGCTCTTAAGTAAAAAAGCAGTATTTATTTGAAAGAAAACAGTAATATTTAACTAATATAGATGATAAAATATTTAAATAGAATTAAAACACCAAATATATTAATTTATAGTTGGTGTATGTTGATTCTAGATGTAAAAATGTAATTTAAAATTCTTTTTTCTGAATTCATGTGAACGATGTGGATTTTATATTTGTGTGATTACCGGTATATATTTTATGTGAAAAGTTTTTAAATTTTTTAACTCATTTAATAGGCGATTATGTTATAAACCAGTGTTTCTAAGTAGTTTTTAAAAATCTTATTTTCTTTTATTTAGGAAGCAAAATATTTTTTTAATTTGAAGAAAAAAAGCAAAGACCCTGATTTCTTCAAACGTCCACATTTTTCCATAAACTCAATAATCTATGCTGATATTTTGGACAATGAATTATTATTTTCTGACCATTGAAATTGAAATAATTCTTTAACCTTTGGTTTTATGAGATCAGATACAAGCTTTACATTTGAAATCAGGGTAACAATACAAACAAGACTTTTTAAACTAAAAAAAATTCTCCTATGTAAATGAAGAAAACCAGACTTTATGCTTTTTGGCATCTTTATTGAAAGAAAAAATGAAAAGATATTGCTTTAACACTTTTGTATTGTAAAAGTTTAAGCGAATAAACTTGAGGCCGTGAAGCAAGTTTGAAATTTTCCTGACACAAAGGGTTTGAACTTAGAGAAGTACTGTTGTGCCGTGTAGTAAACTTACAATTGGAAGGTTGTGGGTTCAATTCCAAAATAAAGTTTGAAAGCCCAAATTCCTATGATGTGCATTTCAGTGTTTTAATGTGGCCATAGAGTAAAGTGCTCCGTATAAGAATATGCTATGTAACATAAAGGTATAGTGAAGGATTTTTGTTAATTTTTAAAAAGACCCGCCCCCTCTCCACTTTAAAAAACAACACATGGACAACCCTGTACCCGCTCCCGAGAGGGAACGCCTATTATGCTCGTGCGAGAGCATGCGCAAGCCCATTTCTAATCGAGGATGCAATAAGATGACGCTCTCTCTCATCTCACCCTTATTTACATAAAAAGTTTCCCCTTAAATAAGGCTACTGGTACATGTATTTATGTGTGTGCTGCAGTGGAAATGTGGACATGCTTGCGGGGTAAATAAGGATCTGTGGCCACTATATAACTAATAATGATGCAAATTACAAAATAAACTTATCTTCCATTGAAAGTTACAATATAGAGGTAGATCATTTTTATTAGCAGTGATGTGAAATGGATTTCTCCAAATAGGATGCTGAACTTTGCAACCGAGGTATCAGTGGGAAGCCTGAACTGTGCTTTCAGTGTACGCCATCGCATAAAAGAAACTCCCAAAAACAATCTGATCTTGTTTCGCTTTTCTGAGGCCTTTTTCTTCTTCTTATACACTTTGTACACTTTTTCTCTTACAACCCTCGGCCATTTTCAAAAAGGGAAAGGCGAGCTTCAATGACTGTCTGAAACAAGTACAAGTGCACATGCACAGAAAAAGGCAGCTAACAGAGCACGAGCACGTAGGACGACCTTACGTAAAGATATCACCCGAATGATTGACAATTAGGAGGACCTCTTATTTTGATGATCCACCCAGAAAAAGAAAATCCTCCACTATACCTTTAAGAGATTTTTACTTTTTGAAAAATTAAAAATCAGCTGACCCATATATCCATGGTGCAAAAATTGAATGAAACATGTTACTTTGGTAAGTCGTAAGCTCAGTCTGGTATCAGAAGCTAAATCAGTATGAAACATTTGCGTACTCTGTGGATTTCCTGTTATTCATCACTGATTGCTATTTTTTTAATCAGTGACAGGGAACTGCAGCGCCTAGAGAAACCCACACTAAGAAATTAAAGCCAAGTCACTATTTAGGAGAAACCTTGATAAGAACTGTTGATAATGCTGCATTTTGCTAATTTTCTTACCTAATTAAAGTCCAGCCTGATACGATGTCAGATTCCGTTTAAAATGTCAAAATCTGAAAGGTAGGCCATCTAAGGAAGCTAATAATTAGCCTGATTGATTTGGCAACAATCCCTTCTGAGAAAACATGAGGTGAAGTAGTCAGAACCGCGCTCAGATGAAAGCTAATTTTTGGAAGTAAGAAAGTCCAGGTTTTTGCTGGGATTTAAATTGCAAACCAGTTGAAAAATAGAAATGTGTTTTGTTTCTATCTGGGAAATAGTAGCTGTATCTTTGGAATGGATCATTTGTGTTATCTGATTTTTTTTTAAAAAAAAAGAATCAAATCTTTAAGATTTTAGAATAATTTTTTGCTTTTACCTTTTAATGATTCAGTCACAGTGTTCGACTGTTTTGTTGAAGTGCTCTTTATTTTCTTTCATTGATAAATTGATGAGCTGGTTGTAGAAACAGATTGGTGTAGTGGTGGTCTTAGGATTGATGGTGCCTTTATGTGTTCCGGTAAAAATAACCCTTACCACTTCGCTTAGAGGAAATAAGCAGCGCTTTTGTTGTTGTAGAGAAGAGAAACATGGATCCAAAGATGATCCTGACCTGGGCGAGACAGTCAGACTTCCCTATTGATCTGCTACAGGAAGAACAGGATGCATCAAATGCATAATTTTAAAAAACGATGCAACTTTAAATATATTTTTAAAACATATTTATGTCACAGCATTATGAAAGCCACAAACACAACAGGAGAACAGAATCTTTTCTCTGCTCTCCGCCATGTAGACAAAGCTTGGGTATCATAGAATTTTCTTAGCTTTCCAGTGGAAATTACGACATCAATGGGAGTTCAAGTGCAAAATTCCATGGTGGCTTTTGATATTTACCATAAATACGATACCACATGAAGGCACCATCAATCATTCCTATCGTCCTCTTGATCAGTAAAACAAGCTATTAGGAGTCAGTCTACTATTAATATAATCGTAATACTTTGAGTGTGGATGTCTTAGTAGCTGTTTTTTTGCTTCTTAACCTCCATCACTGGCAGTTGTATTGGTAAAGGGTTGGTCACAGTTTTTAACCAACTGAGTTGATTTTCTATTTTCCCTTTACTGACAGTAAATGTACCAGGTGTGCCAGTCTTTTTTTCCAGGCTGAGGGAGGTGTGAGATCTTTTGCTCTGCATTTAAAGAGGCTAGACGCAGCAGACCAGCACATGAACTTGAAATGTATTATCAGATGAATAGACTTTATATGGATGACAGCATTATGCTGCATGTAGCTAAACACACAGTAGAAATTAAAAGCATTGTGGGGAGTTTAGCGATCTAGTCTCTTGTTGGATAAGAACAGCTCTTGCATTTTATACAAATTAAAGTGACCACATATGAAAAAGCCAAGTAACAAATAGTTGAGGTATAGGATTTTTCTGCATTGGGGGGCCTGTATTTGACCAAAGTGGTCGTATCTAAAACATTCACTGAAAATACCTGTGATGAGGCACCTGTCTTGTTAGCACATAGAGGTGGTGGTATGTTAAGAATTCACACCGTTTAACTCTGGGTTTATAGAAATGTTGTGAGATGTGGATAGGCTATCAATTGAAGCAAATGCATATCTTTGTTTTCATATTAGCTGAAAATAACACATTCAAATATGGCACCATCTTTAAAAAAAGAATCCTACTCTGTGTGGGTCTAAAGATGAAAAGTGAAGCTGAATTCTTTTTGTTTTTCCTTCTTCCTTAGATGTGAAAGATTTCTAAGGCAGAGCCTCACAACCCTAGATCTATTGGAAACATGTAAGTTATCGCAGACTGGCTTATTTTTTTTGTCAAACAGTATAGTACTTTATCCTATGAATTTTAAGGTCAACCAGGCAGTTGAGTGTATTTCCTTTAAAACGCTGTGGCAAAGAGTTGATATGTGCACGATAAAACATTCGTTTTTATTTAGGTGGAGCTGTCATCATCAGTCTTGTTTCTTTTTACAGATTTAGTCCAAAGACAGATGGAGACACATCATTCAAAGACGTCCCGGTCCTCTGAAGCTATGAGCCGAGACTCCCCGTGATGCAAAGTGAAGAACGATTCTGGTTTCAGTCCCTTCTGTTTCAAGGCCTCTCTGAGACGAACTGGAGGCTCCAGGTAATACTGAATGAAGGAGAGACAGGAAGAGAATATCACAAATGATCTTGCTTGGGTTATATATAAATTGTTAAACAGCATAGAATGATATAAAACAAGAGTGACCTCAAAGCCCAGTCTTATATTGTGGCTGTGGTATCAATCCAGAGTTAGATCTGCAGTAAATTCCTGCTTTTTTGTTTTCAGAGCCAGGAGGACAATAACCGGAGTAAAATTGGCTCTATAGACAACTCTGTTAATTCCCGTCTTTCTCTACTGGATGAACAGATTCATCTAGATGTGTCTGACCTCAGTAACCATGAAAACAATGGCCTGACACACCTGGATAAATCGGTTCATTCAGTAATGAAGGGCGGGAAAGAAAGGAGCTGCCTTAAGTTCAGGAATTTGTGCAGTTAGCCTGTTTGTTAGTATTCCCTACTTTTAGCTGAGAGTTAAATCAAGTCTCCTTTTCTAGCAGATCCTGTCAAGGCTAGAGTGCAAATAGGAGGAATATGGAGGGTTAAAGGGTACACAATTTGAACACATTATATATATCTATTACGGGATGTTTGCGCAGCAAATTATTATAATTGTCATCTCCATCTATTAAACTCAGTGGGCTGCTTCCACACAGACCCTGATATCTGATTGGCTTATTTACTGCGCATTGAGTGAGCAATGTAAGCCATTGTTGGTCAGTGTGACGGACTAACATTGATTCTGCTGAACTCTGAAAGCTCAACAGATGCATTTCTCACCAAACTAATGATATAGAGGCTGGGTTTGCTCACCCAATATGCTGTAAATAAA